GACTGCAGCATATAGCAGCTCCCTGTGCATAGCATCTGACTTCTATCTCACCTAAAAACATAAATGTTGGTGCAAAAGAAGGAAATCCAGTGGTTTTTCGGTTTGTGGACTGTTGATGACCTTATGGAGACTAAATAAAGAAAGCTGTGTAAGAGCTGTGAAGCTTCACAGGGGTTCTCCATCTTTCTTCACTTAGTTGTTTTTATTAATTTATGGAGTGGGACTCCTGAGCTTGTAAGTGAGTTTAGGTAATGGAGGAATTCCCTTGTGTGTATGAAAGGCAGCATTACCAGGGCAGGCGGAAGGTGGTAAACTGAAAGCAGACTCCTTGCCAAAAGGCTCAAACAATTGCAACAATGATTTAGGAATTACTATAACCTTAAATGGAGAGAGACTGCTAGGGCAGTGTTCAGTATAGTAGTGTCATCGTTCCCGAGCACCACAAGTAGAAACTTCTGCAAAGGTCAAGAAATTCTGTTCCAAACAGATTTTAAGATGAGAAGTGTGTGTACAGGAAGGGACTGTGGTGGTGGACTGCCCAGCTGCAAGTGATGTAGGTGGTATGGGGCTTTCTGTGTTGTTGGTTTTTTAGGGTTTTTTTGGTTGTTGTTTTTTTTTTTTTAATTTGTTGGTTGGTCTTTTTTGTTATTTCTTTGGTTTTGTTTTGTTCCTCTGTGAAAGGGCTTATGTCCTTGGACTTGATTGCCTCAGCAGTCTTAGAAAGAGGAAACCTAGAAAACTTGTTGCACAATATTTTGAGTAAATTGAATGGTTGATGAGACTACTGGGCTTGGCTTCTCATTTCCCTTCTAGGAGGTGGGTGGAGGAAGCATTGATTTTGCTAGTGATTAGGAGTGGTGTAACAGAAGAGCATGTTCAAGTTACTATCTGAACAGAAATTTAGTTTCTCTAATTGTTTCCTGCAGGCAGTGGCCAGCTGCAGTGGAGCCAGCTGAATGAGACTTAGCTCCTCCAATTCTTCACAGGCTCAACTGATCCTGTAAGAGTGAATCTGACAACCTGGTCTGTAATGGGTCACCCTAGAGAGTGGTCCAGTGTGTCTTGTGCCATCTGGGACCTGAGACATGTGCCGTAGCTTTCTAGCATTCTGTAGTTTAGCAAAAGAGCTGCTTTCAAGTGTCAGGACTTGCGTATACAGCATTCATAAAGGAGATAGCAGAGGCCAGGCCTGCGTATTTTAATGCTGGTGTGTGCGTTTTCCTCTGTTTTGACTGGTCCTGGCATTGGTTTAAAGTCAGTAGGTTGGAACTGGTTTGCATCAGTTGGAATTACCCTCCCGTTAGTCTTCTAAGCAGTTCTGCCACAAACTTGAGCTTTACAGAGCTACTGACCCTGGACTATGTTTTTGGGCTTGCAGGGTGTACAGGTACCTTCCCACTGTTGCAGGGTGGCACTCAGAAGTAAAGGCACAGTTTTATGAAGCAGTTAAGGATATGCTCTGCCATCCCTTACTTCTTTAAACACTGACTGTATAACAGAAGTAAACTACATTTCTGCTCAGATTGATAAATACTGCATCTGCTACATTTAATTTTCATAAATCAGCCTTGACTGAATAAGGCCTGCAAGCTGTGGTTGATGTGCTCCCTGCAGCAAATAGTCCCAGTGCAATCTGGGAAGGCTCCTTCAAAACTAGCAGCTATTTCAGGCACATTAGTTTAGTCCGGTGCCTGGAGGTAAACCACAACACTAATTGCCTTGCAAACCTCTCCTGTAGTGGCTGTGACAGCAGATTTGGCAGTGCAGCTCCATGGGAGGGAAGAAATTGCTCATAAGAGACTTGCTAGATGGGGGAGCTCTGACATCTGCTCATCCTGATTTTGAGATGTTCCTGATGCTGGATCAGGGCAACTTAGTCTTTGTCTGTATTTTAAGTGAGGAACTGTGCTCCGTGTCTCTAGTCTGTCACTCTCACTTTGTGTATAGTTTCTTTTATTTAAAACAAACACCTTCTTCTCTTCCCCCCCCAATCAAACCTAACAAACAAACAAAAAGAAAACAACCAAGAAGGGTGGAGGGAGTCACAGAAATGCCTCAGAGATTACAAAACATGTTGCAGTTCTTGGCACTTGGATAGTTAATAAGGAAAATATGAAGAGTCCCTCTGAGATTATTACAGTTTTCTTTTTCTGACCTCTCTCAGTGAAAAATTCTGCCCTTGTTGGATGTGAAGTTGCTGTTTTAGGTGGTCTACTAATACCGATTTATGAGAGTGAAACAAATGGCATACTTTACAGCTTTATAGGTGCAAAGACTCAGAGTAACTGACTTCTGCAGGATAAAAACATGAAAGTTGAAGCTGCAGAGAGATGGAGAGTAACTTCAGAGTGTGTGCTTTATCTTCCAAATCAGAACCCTGAATTTCTAGATATACTGATAGTGAAACCATGTTTTAGTCACCTGTTTTTTTTAAATACATACCACTTTGTTTCCTCGATGAAACATAAGAGTTAAAGCCTCTTCCATGTGATCATCCCTTCTGAAATCAGATTTGGTAAATAATTTTGTTTACACATGTGTATGTTCACGTAAGTTAATTTCTTTTCCATCTTTTCAAGACTGTTAAAGGTCAGAGAAGACTTTAGACCTAATGCATAGTTTATGGATAAATTAATTTCCCTAAAAATCTGGGTAAGACATCTTGAGTCATGGATACAGACAAAATAAAAGTTTTGGAGGCTGCATTTTTTCCTCTTTAAATCTTCAGAGAAGCAACGTAAAGGGGCAATTTGCAGTCAGAACAGCATTTTCTGGGGTTTTGCTCTGTGGCAAGATATTCTGCTGTTTGCAAATACACACTCTTCTCCAACAAAACTCGGACTTGTGTGTGTGCTCCATTTGTGATCCCGTGCTTGTTGTTTAGCTTGTTTTTTTTGTTTTGTGTGGGTGGGTTTTTTGGGAGGCTTCAATGAGGAGATTGCTTAGCCTGGGTGAATGTTTTAAAAGAATGGAGAAACCATTTCTAATCCAGAAATCAGCAACTTGACTTAAACAAAACACTGTAAGAAAGGAGTGAATCACAGCATCTTGTGTCACGTATCTCTGGTGGGACGAACTGATAGGATCTTATCCTCCTCAGGGAGGAACGTGGTTTTGGTGATGTTATTGCTATGTAAAGGTAGCCACTAACACAGTGGTGCTGTTGGTGCAGAACTACTGAGACTACTGTGTAGGTGTATCCTGAGGGGCTGGTTTACTGCTGTCTGCCTAAAATGCAAAGGAGATGTGCAGAGCTGTTCAGTGTCTGCTCCAGAGGTCAGCAGGTTGTAGTATGGTGCCAAACCTAAATGAGCAGATAAACAGCAACCTGTATGTATGTCCTGTAGCAAACTGCACGATGGTAAGGTTGTGAAATGAGCAGAGGTTATATATAGCATGCACAGCTGGTCAAGAGTTACAACTGGTGATGGGTTCCTCCGAATAAGGCAGCTGCAGCTCAGTTGATTAACTCTGCAGGGGAGCCCATGTCCATGCTGTAAACCCAGAAAGCTAACATGGACATGCCCAAATGGTGGCAGTCAGCTGGGTATAGTCAAGACAAGTGTTGCAGCCAGCCCTTGTGGGCAACTCCGAATTAAAACTGAACAAGAATAAATACATTAATAAAACTGTATCAGCGAGAACAGAGTTAACTGTATTGTGCACTGGCACTGAAGTGTCTGGAAAAGATTAGTGGGCCAGTGCTGTAATTTCAGATGTCTTGTTTTCTTTTGTTTTCTTACATTTCCTGTCATGCTATCTTGTTACCTTGACTCCAGTAAGTTTAGAGGACCAGAGTATTGTCTTGTTGATATCTTTGAATTTGTGTGATGGGAAATGCCTTTAAGCAAGAAATACTAATTTTGACATGGATAATGAGATGCACCCTGGTTTTGGTGATTCCTTCTTAATGCAAGCACAACTCATCCCCTTCTTCCTTCCCCCCCCCCTTTTTTTTTTCTTCATAGGAGCCCATATGTAGTTTTAAAGCCTTCCTGCTTCCTTACTGACTTACAGAACTGAGTAACATACGTAGTCCTTCAGTTATTGTGGCATTCATCTGAGTGCACCCAGTGTGCCTGATTTTTGAACACTCAGAGTAGTACACAGCCCAGTGCCTGCTGCATTGAGTACAGAACGGGAGGAATTAGATCAGAGTTCACATTTATTATGCCAGTGTGCTTTGGTTTTTGGTAAAGACAATTTTGCAATGAGTGCATGCAACCTAAAAATTCAACCATTGAAATCTAAGCTTGTTGTCTTCAGTTATTGTTATCCCAGTATTCAATATCAGATCACCCAGTCACTAGAAAGCTGTACCAGAATGTGCTTTGCTCTGCAGTTCAAGTGATAAGACTGGCAGTAGTTGGTGGAGCCCCACGCTTAGGCAGTGGGTAGCACAGGCATTGCATAGTTTATGCTGCTTTCAGCAATTGTCTTATTGGAGAGTGTGTACTTAAAGTGATTAAAATCAGGAAAGAAATCGTGGGAACAAGGATGATCCACCAGACTTTATTCAGCTTACAAATTAAGTTCTATTTGTGCTGCCTGGAACTGTTGCTAGAAATTGTTACAAAACTACTAGAGAATTCTAGGAACAGCTGGGAAAAGTTTGGAACTTCCTAGAAATTACTGTCTCTGGGAATAGGGGAGGAAATAACTTATGTGAATTCCAAAAAGTTCCTAAACCCTACCAGGAATTCAGAGAAACTTAAGTCACTAGAGGCCTTAAAAACTGCTAGGAATGAGAAATTCCTAGGAGTACCTGCTGGAATGTTCTAGAAACTACCAGAAATTTCTAGAAAATGCTAGAAATTCTGTGGGAATACAGTAAATTCAGTGACTCTGCTGGTAATTTCTACAATGTACAAGTGTTTACTGGAGATAAAAAGGCCATTACCTGCTGTCTTTTTGGGTAAAGTAGCGAATAGCTGTACATGGTAAAACCTGCTCATCTTCCCTAAGCTGTCAAGTGTAGAGTTCTGTCATCTTATTTGGAGAGTGTTCTGTATGTATTTGTCTTACAAACGTGTTTTATTTTCTGCAGTCCTATTTTGTTACGGATTATGATCCAACGATTGAAGATTCCTACACCAAGCAATGTGTGATAGATGAAAGAGCTGCACGCTTGGACAGTAAGTAGCCTGACTAACCCGTGGTACTAACAGCCTGGAACTCTTGTGGTGCCTCTGGTTGTCTGTGTGCATGAAATGGAACACAGGTAAACAACTGTGCAGCATGTGTGGGGTTTTTCATAAGTATGTGGCTGATAAAGCTAGCTAGCTTTGTTTTATTAATGAGATATCTAGGCCTTATGTATGTGTAAGTGTCTCTTAAACTGGACACTTTTTTTTTTTTGAGAATTATTCCCAAAGTCTTACTGCCTACAAAACTAGAAGAATTTCTATAACTCCTGGCAGTTACCTGAGTGACATGATGCAATGAAAAATTCATCACTTGGCTGTTGTATGCTGCCCCTCCCAAGTTCAATATAAATGCTTTCCCCTAGAAGTTTCAGTTCTCCCTTGTCAGTGATTTCTTTAAGGACAAACCAATGACCTTCTCAACCCCCATCCTCAAGTCTCTCTAAGCATTCTCCAACTGTTATAGTTGGTTGTGAATCATCAAAAGTTCACCAAATTTTGTTTTTCAGTTTGCTTTGTGGGTCTTTTGCTGTTCAGTCAGTCCAAGAATTTGGGAATTCTAGCAAAAATCCAATAGTATCTAAGAAAAGTGATTTCTGCTTAGTTATAATATATAGGAAGGCATCTCACAATATCCTATTAAGAAGGATTATTTTTTTTTCCTCAGTCTATACTCTAAGAACATGAACTGTAGTAATCATTGTTTTGCTTATGTTCAGTTCTGGATACAGCAGGACAAGAAGAATTTGGAGCTATGCGTGAGCAGTACATGAGGACAGGGGAGGGTTTTCTGCTTGTTTTCTCAGTCACGGATAGAGGAAGGTAAGCCTGGTGTCAAGTTATTAAAAAACAAGTTGTAGTTAATCTTAAATTGCTGCTTATCCTTTATTGTAATCCCAAACAGAAACATTAAGTATGTGTTCACTCTTGGATTTTGTGGTGTGGTGCACTTATAGCACTGATGAAAACCCATTTTAAACCACTGATTGAAAGTACCTGTCTCTTGAAATAGATGACTTGGAAGCATACACAAAAAAAGAACTCTATTCAAGCACTTCATTACAGTCTAAAATACTAATTTCCTGAAATTGACAGGAATTTAAACTGAGTTCTTGGAAGTATCTTCTTACCATGTGCTTGTGAACATCAAGTGACTGACTGGATTTCTGAAGGTGTATCCAGGCCAGGGAATGTCTCCACCCTCTTCTGAGGGCTGTGCTCACTCTGCTTGGTCCCAGGAATTGACTGGAACCTGCATAACTGATCACAGAGTTGAGATGAAACCTATCTGTTTAGAAGCTCATGGAGCATTGTCAGGTACCTCCTGATCACTGGAAGAGTAGGAAGCTGCCATGTATATATATAGACAGTCACTACATATTTTGATCTTCCTCCATTGAGCTTTGCAGATATGTAGAAATAAAGGAGAAGTCCTTGGGGATCTGTCCTTCCACTTGTTCTGAGTTGCAACAGAAAAGCAGTAAAATTACTAAATTTGTCTATGATGCTTTTTTTATCCTTACAGATTCAATCTAGGCTCTAGGAGGCTACTTCTGATCTTTCTAAGAGCTCTATCAGTTATGAGAATTAAGATGAATATTTTGTGGCCTTAGCATGTTTCCACTGGATCTGTATCTTACAGTTAATAATGCTGTTAAATGGAGAAATTAATGTAGAAGTACTGTCCAGAAAACACTCTTACACCCTTTCAGAGATCTGAGTCTGTGGATCTGAGACATGCTGAGCACTTGTGTTAGCATAAATATTTTAGTGTAGATGTTTTTGAAGTTGTCATGTGAACTCCTTGGTTTGTCTGAAAACTTGTAAGTTTTGTTTGTTCTTCTGGCTAAGGGTTTGCCTTGATTAAGCAGGTCTTCGCACATTCAACCTGCATCTCACTTTGTTCTCTGAAATCCCTCAAAGACTTCTGAAGAGTAGTGTTTTCATTTTTGTTCTGATAGTCATTTGATTCAAGATTTAACCTTGCCTGCCAGTGAAATACCTACTAGTGGTGTCTGTCCTGCTTCTGTCGTCGAAAGTAATTCTGAAGAAGAAACCTAGATGACTTAGTTGGTAACTTTAAACTCTCTTCCTCCAGTTGCTGCAGACTTCTGAGTATTAAAACAACATATGTAAATGGCGGTCCAGCTTAGTGGTGTCCCTTGCTTCTAATTCACCTTTTCTCTCACAATTGCTTTATATGGATGAGATGGATTGTCATGATCATGTCTGACTACCTAACTTTTTAAATGTAACTTTCTTACTCATTATCATCTTGCTTTTAAATTTTACTTTGCAAATTGAAGTGCAAATGGCTTCAGACTGCACAGCTGGAATTAAATATAGTACTTGGGAAGTCTGTGCTCCAAAGGAGGTGATTGTCTGCAAGTATCTGTGCTGAAGCTCTTCATATAGTGACGTATCTTTAGCAGTATTTACTTGAAAGCAGGAATTTTCTCAAAAAATCCTTGTTTAGTCCAGAGTTAGCTTGTTTAATACTCTGACCTTGGAGAAATGTTCTGCTTTACTCACCTTCCCTTAAGCACTGCTGGAATATTCCTTCCTGCTTGAACAGCCTTAGTACCTGATATAAGTGATTTGGAAACCAGAAAGCTTTTTGATCGTTTAGCCACATCTTTTTTTATTCCTGTTCTTCAAGAAATAAAATTTTATGAGTTTGTTAGTTTTCCATGCAAATTCCTAAAAAGTAGCTGTGCATGGTGACAGCTGAAATATTGATCACCAAGTCTCTAGACTGTAGTTTGAATGTTTTAGCCAGAATTGAACTCCAAAGTCAATGTTTGTAGAATGGACTGTGGTTGCTTGGTTCTCTGCAACGCATTGGCATCTGGGTCTCTTCAGACTGAGACACAATGAAGTGTTTTGCTTACCCTGTAGCCCAACCTACGTCCAGTGGATAGCACACTGTTAACTTGAGGATTTTTTTATTTGGAGTGTTAAATGATTATCCAACTCGTCATGCCATGACAGTGGACTCTTTGGTGGAGTGTGTGCAGCTGTCTGCTTGTGGGGCCTGGTAAGGCAAGTCCAAATAGGTGACTCATCATTTCTGAACTTCTGCAGAACCTGAGAATCCATTAATTAGTACACTGATTCTCTACTGTTTTCTTTATTTATTTTACAGTTTTGAAGAAATCTATAAGTTTCAGCGACAAATTCTTAGAGTGAAAGATCGCGATGAGTTTCCGATGATTCTAGTTGGTAATAAAGCAGATCTGGACCACCAAAGACAGGTAATTCATTTGCTATTAGTTACTGCTCACTTTCTTCCAGAAACTTCAAAGTTTTCTTCCTGAAAACAGTGGGAACAAGAAACAAAAAAATTTGTAACCTATTAACTAATTCCAGTGCAAGAAATACAATTATACTTGTTTCTGTAACTGAAGAGTCTTAGAAGCATGATGATATTCCACACAGAGCACATATTCATTCTGACTCAGTTGAGGTAAATCTGTTCACATACAGAGTTGAGAGCTTTCTGTCATGACTTGGTTGCTCAGGCATGAACATGTCTAATTTCTCCATTCTGTTACTCACTATAGTGTGCTGTGCCAAGCAGAGAGCATT